ATTGTGTCAACATTTTGCTTCTGAAGAGCAAAACATTGCCACAATAAAATGTCACATTAGTTGCATGTGTCCTTTTACCTAACATAGTCAGTAATTCTACTGTTATTACTAAATGCAGAGTATTTTAAAGCCTCACTCTGGTAAGATGAGATATGGGACAAATTAAGGGCTTACTGGAGCACAACAGACAGGGAAGTAACTGGTAGGGAGAGGTATGACATATTTTGAACATGGTCTCTGCAGTCCTGCAACGAAAGTACACGACTATCACAGGTGCTAATTGTACAACAGGTTTCAGTGGTTGCCTAGGTAACCCCCATCTGGCATTAAGGTCAGTCCACACTCAGTGTGATATCAGATCTCAAGTGGTAAGATAAGCATTATTCAGGAAATTCGCACATGATTTAACAGAAAGTAGCATAAATTTATGTAATGGTTCTGAAGGCACATAGATGTTATAAGCATACACCTGTGAAAAATTATGTTTACATAACCTAGGATAACTCAATAGATTTAACCTAGGATAATCAAATAAATTTAGCCTAGGATAACCCAATAATTGTCATATATTTGAAAATTTGTGACTATTCGTATTTTGCATTACCTATATGATTGAACTGTTATTTGAATTGATTTCAATCCATACTGCATTTTGTAGATTAACCATGTGAAGCATCTGTAATACGTAATTGTGCAGATGGTTGTAAATCCACAGCAGAAAGCCAGTGGAGGAGAAAGCAGTGATGAAAATGAGGATGTATCAGAAAGAGTCTCTGTTGATAGGTTAATTAAGTGTATTCTAACCTAACTACTCTATAATCCAGCAAACTCACTAAACTGGCACACTACAGGTCCTAATGATGCCATATTAGTGATGGCCGACCTGTACAATCCCGTGGAGTCTCTGTGGAGGACACGTGCGTACCTTACATCGTCTCTGTTAGAGGCATTTCGATGCTCATTCAGAGACGATGTAAGGTACGCATGTGTCCTCCACAGAGACTCCACGGGGCATTTGATGAACTGGAATGAGGCACAACTCGTTCTCACCGAACCAGACCTCAGATGCCGACGGTGCCTAGAAGCCTCACTAATCGCCGTCACCGACACTATAGAACGCAACACTGGAAACTACAAAATTTCAAAAACATTGGCATACATGATACTTAAGCAGCACCAACCCAACAACACAGGAGTCACGTGATTTCATCGTCTGCCCGTCCTCATCATGGGCGGAGGTTGTTTTTGATGGGGACCTGCCTCGCATGGGCCAGTAGGCCTTCTACAGTGTTCCTCCATTCTTATGTTCTTATGACATTCCTCAGGTCACGTGCGTCACACCTCACTCTCCGCCTATATATAATGTCTTCCTACCTCTGCATGTTAGAAGTGATCAAGGTCCCAGGACCGAAACGTTTTCTAATAAATATGTTATAGTGTTTGCTTACGTGTCTTTCTAAACCAACTTGTCGGTATTTATTACCAAGGTTTATACCAGAATAGACAGTAACTAGCAGATCTACTGATTGTACAGATTACATGACATTGTCCCTGCTATATTAAGACTAGGCTTTAAATATTTTTTTCCTCAAGGGAAGTTTCTTAATGCTGATGAGGGGTTCTTGATGCCAGGAGTTGGACAAGTTCTCTCATTACTTGAATTGAACCTTTCCTCCCATTCTCCAGGTACTGTATGACCCCTATGGGTTTAGAACTGCACCCTAAATATAATAATATAAGTATTGCAATTCAGTTTATGTGGAGATATCAGTCGCATGGAATGTACAGAGTATGGACAGGGGCCACACACTCAAACACTATACTACTATAGTGTCCAAACATTCAACCATTAACAGGATATCCAAACAAGCAGTACACAAAAGAGTAAATCACTGTATTGTAAATAATTTTTTGTTTTAACACAATGGCTGTCTCCCACCAAGGCAGGGTGATCCAAAAAAGAAACACTTTCACCATCATTTACATTATTACTGTCTTGCCAGAGGCACACAGATACGACAGTTTAGATGTCCCTCTAAACAGCAAATATCCCAAATCCCTCCTTTAGAGTGAATACACTGTACTTCTCACCTCCAGGACTCAAGTCTGGCTAACCAGTTTCCCTGAACCCCTTCACAAAATATTACTTTGCTCACATTCAAACAGCTCGTCAAGTCCCAAAAACCATTTGTCTCCATTCACTCCTATCCAACATGCTCCTACATACCTGATGTATGTCCAAGCCCCTTGCACACAAAATGTCCTTTACCCCATCCCTCCATCCTTTCCAAGGACGACCCCTTCCCTAAAATACTGATATGTCCACAATGGTTAGATGAATGAACTTATTGTATGAGATTCCAACATTAGTAAGTAACGAATGTTAACAGTGGCAGTGGGTAAACTTTGTCTCCTTAAAAAAAATGGAGCAAACGCGTGCACGCACACACACAGTGACCAGTGAAGAGGCGGGGCCAGGAGCTAGGACTCGACCCCTGCAACCTCAACTAGGTGAGTACAACTAGGTGAGTACGTACATACATACGTATGCACACATACGCACACGTGCACACACACACACAAAAAAAAATTGCACATTTTAAAAACTATCCTATGTACAAGATGGCCCCATTTTTTCAGCAGCTAGGTTCCTGATCCCTACCAATAAGCAAAAATCACTGACAAGTGGAAAACAGCATTTTTTTTTTCATTATTGAATGCATAAAAAAATACCTGATAACATGTTTACACTATCATACATTAAGTGTTCAATCCAACCAGGCCTAAAACAAAAAAATACAAAAGTAAAATGAATATACAGTACATACAATACTTACTCTAAAATACGGTGTCAGACACCCTTCCCTGATGCAACTGTTGCGCAAAAACAGCGAAAAAGCAGAAAAAGTGCCAAACATAATGAACAATGACTCAATTGAAAACTGTTGAAACAGTGGCAAGCCAAAAAGAGGAATGCCAAAATGAGGGGACAAGCCTTCCTGTACTCTCATCACAAACTATAACATTATTATTATTATTATTATTAATTCAACAAGGTCACAGTCAACAGGTGATATCACAATATGCAGAATAACCACTGTGAAAAAACAGTGAAATTTCAAGCACTTTCGTGATATCTCACACTATCAAGGAACTATGAAAATGTGAGAAATCACAAAAGCTCTTGGAATTTCACTATTATTATTAATGTATAGCGCTATTCTTCAAATCAACACTTGTTGGTAAACACACCATCACTGACACATGGGTGACTGGCGGCATGCTGGATGCTCACCTGTGAAATCATTTGACATCAGATTCAAACTCTCTATAGATGTGTCCATTTCTTAATTTTGTGGTATCATTTTCATTCTGTGCTTCTTTTCCTAAAACAACCAGTGTCAAAGGAAAAAGTGGTACAAACCCATGCCAGGTGCAGCCATCAAGATTCGGGAAACACATACAGCTCCGATGCCCCATTTGGCGGCTGTCATGCTTTGGCCCACTTTGTTGCCATTCTGGTCGAGAAGTGTCACCCCATCCTGAAGCTCCCTATGTGGTGATTTACACATTTGATGGGACACACAAACTTTATATTCAATCACTGCAGCTGATAGTTCTCAAGATTAATTTTTTTTAAGTTAAGCTCTATATTCAATACTAATCTGTACAATATTTTAATCAAGTACACTCAGCCTTTCAGGTACATACTATTTTATATGACTGGATGATGACACTGATTTTTTCACACAGAAAATTATATTAGACACAAAACAAAAATATTTCTTTCAACACTAATCAAAGATAAAACTAAATTAACATCAAAGAAGATAAATACAAAATAATTTTATAATATAATTAGCAAATAAACCTAAGCATGTAACCTAATAAAGAATACTAATCACCATTTGCCAATATGAATCATCCTGTTTATACAAGCCTTCCTCCATCTCGCATTTGGTCATGCAATATTTATTTGGGACTACATAACCTGCATTCTTTTAGCAAAGTATTCATTATCAAATGTAGAAAAACAAATGGTTACTGGATATTTTACAGGTTAATACTTAGCATTAATTAAGCTCATCAACCTTATCATACTTTTAATTAACCCTTAAACTGTCCAAACATAGATCTACGTTCACATGCGTAGCACTCCAAAAGTAGATCTATGTTTTTTAATGTTGAAAAAACGTAGATCTATGTTTGGACAGTTTAAGGGTTAATTAGAGCAAAATCACATGTCATGCTTTATTTTGTCTATTAATACTACTACTGCTATTACTATTATTATTACAGTATTACTACTACTACTGTTATTATCACCCCATTACTACTACTACTGTTATTATCACCCCATTACTACTACTACTACTGTTATTATCACCCCATTACTACTACTACTGTTATTATCACCCCATTACTACTACTACTGTTATTATCACCCCATTACTACTACTACTGCTATTATCACCCCATTACTACTACTACTACTACTACCATCATAAAACCACCAACTTCACAAGTATTGTAAAAAAGTTTTGTAATAATAATAAATTATTCAGAGAATCTGAAAATTTAATTAGTCATAATTAAGTTACTATACTATTAGCATAGTGAAACTTAAGGAAATTTTTTTCTTATACATGTATATAGATTATAAAATTATATCTATTTTTTCAAAATTAATGAAAAGAAAAATATTAATACAACTGCTACAGAAGCATATGATCATGAAACTTGAATTAGAGAAATGGTATACCATTACAACTACCTTTATCAGTGTGTGTGTGTGTGTGTGTGTGTGTGTGTGTGTGTGTGTGTGTGTGTGTGCGTGTGCGTGTGTGTGCGTGTGCGTGTGCATGTGTGTGTGTGTGTGTGTGTGTGTGTGTGTGTGTGTGTGTGTGTGTGTGTGTGTGTGTGTGTGTGTGTGTGTGTGTGCATACACACACACAAGAAAAAAAAAAATCAGTGAAAAAAAAGTTTTATAGTTGACTTACTTCATTCTCATCAATGGAATGTTAACACAATTGGCAGCTGCTACAGCTGAAAAGGGTACTAGCCGTCCAATCAAAGGTGGCATACTCTGCAAGTCAAACCAAATCATACAATTATTATTATTATATTCATGGGAGAGCACTAAACCCATATGGGTCATACAATGCTTCAGGTAATGGAGGGCATTCAGGTTTGATTCAAGGAATGAAGCACTGATCCAATTCCTTAGATTAAGAGTCCTTTACCATCATAAAAGAACCTCCTTTGAGGGACAATATCATACAAAATTAAAAGCTTGCTATGAATTTTTTGGTCACATATTTTTCAATTGTGCTGCACAAAATTGTAATGGAATGTTACACAAGGGGGTTAAGTGTATTTAATTTTTTAGATGGGTTTGAAAAATTTAATGGCTGCAGTATATATTTGGTAATAATACTACACAACTATAACAAGCTCTGCAGTTCAAATCACAAAAAAAAAGATATTTTGAAATATGAGTAATAACATAATTTGAGGATAAATTTTCTGATACAATGTGTCACTGTACCTTAACTAAACTATTGAGTCCAAGGGCTGTAACTAAAGCTCCACCAGTTGCTAGTACATACGATGTCCCAAGCTGCCTGTAAAACAGCAAAATTTCATTACAAAGACTGCCCCTTGAGAATCCAGGATTATTAGCTTGACTTCCCTACCAAAATGCTATCAAAACTAATGTCATCCATTGAAGACACTGCAAATCTTCAAACGGACATTAACCAAGTCTTTAAGTGGGCTTCAGAAAACAATATGAAGTTCAATGAAAACAAATTTCAATTACTCTGCTATGAAAAACTCAAGGAAATAAAAACTGGACCAGAATACAAAACAAATGACAACCACACAATAGAACAAAAAACTAGGAGTAATATCAGAGAATCTCACTTTCAAAGATCATAACAATGTTTCTACCACAACTGCTAGGAAAATGATAGGATTGCTTGTTCTCTCTAGGCTGGAATATTGCTGTACACTAACTGCCCCTTTCAAGGCAGGCAAAATTGCAGACTTGGAGAATATAAAGAGAACTTTCACTGCACATATAAGTACAACAAAGCACCTAAATTAATGGGAACGGTTGAAATCTCTTGACCTATACTCCTTGGAACACAGGTGAGAAAGATGCATGATAATGTACACTTGGAAAATCTTTGAGGGACTAGTCTCAAATCTACACATGGAAATCACTCCCTATGAAAGAAAAAGATTCAGTAGGCAGTGCAACATCCCTTCCCCCCCAATAAAAGGTAGGGGCGCCATGAGTACATTTAGAGACAACGCAAGTGTTAGGGGCCCAAGACTGCTCAACAGCCTCCCAACATACATAAGCGGGATTACCAATAGACCCCTGGCTGTCTTCAAGAGGGAGCTGGACAGACACTTGACTAGCCAGGCTGTGGTTCATACATTGGTTTGTGTGTGGCCCACAGTAACAGCTTGGTTGATAAGGCCTTGATGTACCATGAGGCCTGGTCATGGACCGGGCCAAGGGGGCACTGATCTCCCGGAACACCCTCCGGGTAACCTAACTACATCTGCAGTTACTATGAGGAAGTGGAAAAGAATCCTTACAGCATAAACCATTCATGTCATACAAGGTGACCATAATGCTAGGAGCAAAGGGCTAGTAACCCCTCCTCCTGCATAAATTACTATATGTAAAAAGAATAAAATCTTTTGTTCCTTCTCTGTTGGGTCACCCTGACTCAGTGGGAAATGTTTGGTATGTTGAAAAAAAAAAAAAGGAACCCAGAATTTGGAGAGAAAACTTTTGACTATGCTTCGGGCAATCCCAGGTCATCAACAAGTTACAATTGTTCCAGCCATGGTATTATGAAAGTTATTCTTCACATATGCAGTCAGTTAACTGTGACATGATGTCTAAGAAACACCCTGGCAAGCTTGTTTAATTAAAAGCAAATAATTTAATCTAGAATGTATTCAAATGTCCTAGGTAGAAGGTTGGTAGACAGCAACCGCTCAGGGAGGTACTACCGTCCTGCCAAGTGAGTGTAAAACGGAAACCTGTAATTGTTTTACATGATGGTAGGATTGCTGGTGTCCATTTTTCTGTCTCATAAACATGCAAGGTTTCAGGTACGTCTTGCTACTTCTACTTACACTTAGGTCACACTACACATACATGTACAAGCATATATATACACACCCCTCTGGGTTTTCTTCTATTTTTCTTACTAGTTCTTGTTCTTGTTTATTTCCTCTTACCTCCATGGGGAAGTGGAACAGAATTCTTCCTCCGTAAGCCATGCATGTCGTAAGAGGCGACTAAAATGCCGGGAGCAAGGGGCTAGTAACCCCTTCTCCTGTATATATTACTAAATTTAAAAGGAGAAACTTTCGTTTTTCCTTTTGGGCCACCCCGCCTCGGTGGGATATGGCCGGTTTGTTAAAAGAAGAAGTATTCAAATGTACAATGGTAACAGTCAACAGTACAGAACTAAAGTATATATATTACAGCAACTGTAATGCAGTGATTCGTCCTCACTACAATCAACTAGTAACTAATCATCGTAATAATGGCAGGAATCCTCAAACAAAAACGTACATACATACTAATCTGATTTTGTTTTATAGCCAGTGATAAAAACAACACTTGAAGTAATGTAATATAAACAGTAGTACTATACAACTACTATCTGATACTACTACAATAGTGGAGTACTACTAATATTCAACACTACAATAGTGGAGTATTACTAATCTTCTTTCTTTCTTTCAACACACCGGCCATATCCCACCAAGGCGGGGTGGCCCAAAAGGAAAAACGAAAGTTTCTCCTTTCAAATTTAGTAATATATACAGGAGAAGGGGTTACTAGCCCCTTGCTCCCGGCATTTTAGTCGCCTCTTACAACACGCATGGCTTACGGAGGAAGAATTCTGTTCCACTTCCCCATGGAGATAAGAGGAAATAAACAAGAACAAGAACTAGAAAGAATATAGAAGAAAACCCAGAGGGGTGTGTATATATATGCTTGTACATGTATGTGTAGTGTGACCTAAGTGTAAGTAGAATCAGCAAGACGTACCTGAAATCTTGCATGTTCATGAGACAGAAAAAAAGACACCAGCAATCCTACCATCATGTAAAACAATTACAGGCTTTCATTTTACACTCACTTGGCAGGACGGTAGTACCTCCCTGGGCGGTTGCTGTCTACCAACCTACTACCTAGGAGTATTACTAATATTCAATAATTACAAAGCCATCATTGTTAAACAATCTGCAGTCTCATGATTTAATGTCACTTCAATTTACTGATTATTACTTCTATTAAAAGCAAGGGGCTAGTAACCCCTTCTCCTGTATATATTACTAAATTTGAAAGGAGAAACTTTGGTTTTTCCTTTTGGGCCACCCCGCCTCGGTGGGATACGGCCGGTGTGTTGAAAGAAAGAAGAAGACTTCTATTAAAATGTCAAAAATTGAACAATAAAATGTGAGAAACCATCTAGACAGAAAAATGTACCACAGAAAAAACAGATCTCTTTTTACCTGGGTTCAATTTCTCTACCAAAGTATTTTTTTCACTTTACATTTTATTTCCTTCATAAATACTACATCTTTATTTATTTGAGTTTTTATTTTCATTTTTTATTTCTTTTATGGAATCATTAGTTCATTATCATTACATTGTGCACTACTATCAAAAGTTCTTACTCTATTTTCACCTGTATTAGCCTGAAGATAACCCTACTTAGTGGTTTAGTTTAAGAAAAAAATATTTTTAATGCAATTGTCATCTCCCACTGAGATAGGGTGATCTGAAAGGTAAGAGGAAACACGTTCACCATCATTCATTCAATTGTTGTCTTGGCAGAAGCATGTTGACATCACAGTTCAATTAGCCCTCAGAACTGCAACATTCCCACCCTTCATTCAGAATGCAGGCACTGCATTTTCCTCCTCCAGGATTCAAGTCTGGCGAACTGGCTTTTCTGAATCTCTTCATAAATGTTACTTTTCTCACACTCCAACAGCATGTCAAGTCATTAAAACCACTTGTCCTCCATTCACTCCAATGTAATGTGCTCATGCATGCCTGTTGAATGTTTCCCTGGCACTCAAAACACCCTTTACTCCCTCATTACGACCCTTCCTGGGACCACCCCAGATTTATATACGTTCCTAGTCATCCTATTTTGCTCCATCCTCGCTAAATGGCCAACCCATCTTAACAACCCCTCCTCAGCCCTCTCAATTATACTTTTGGTAACTCCTTGCCTGCTCTTTTAAAATCTTCATCTAGCTCTTTAGTACTCTTTAAAAGTTTAAACAAATTTAAGTTATACACAAAAACAATAAAATATATACATATATGTGCTTTAATTTTTTTTTTTTACAAATACTATTTAGTGCCAGTACTATACTATATATTTATGTCAACATACTGGTACTTTTTATGTTAGCCTGTATCATAATTAGCTAAATCCCATGGCATAGTAGATATAAATTAATTACATTTCACAACTCATAATTTTGTTCCATTCTGACCCAAATTATGAGTTAGTTTTTAAATGCTTTGGCCATCATGCTGTTGGCGAGTTGTAAAATGTTCCAGCCATGGTCTTGTTACATCTATTCTTCAACTAATCACATAATTACATCTAAGATAATTTCTTGTACTTACTTGACACTAATAGGTGAATCTCCCGAACGATTAGTGTAATTGACAATAGCATTGAACGACTGGTTGATCCACTGCCAGAAAACAACTGCTGGAGTTGTCCTATAAATGCAAATGTTTACATTAAATGCTCTATAATAAACTAAAATTTTGCATATAGCACACCCAAAAACAAATGAATACACACAAAAAAAGAGAATTTTTTATAATGGAGAAGTGTTAAATCCATAAGGATCATGTAGCACTGGCTTTAAAAATAAAAGACATACAGTACTTAATAATATTGCTATCATATATCTAACAAACAAAATTGGAAGAATAAATATTAAACAAAAATAAGAGTTAAAAAGAAAATCTTTGAGTGGAGAAAGAAAATGAGAAAATTAATACAGTAGATTAATTGTTAATTATAAAGCATTTTTGGAGAGGAAACGTATGACAGATTTTCAACACGATGATCCCTTCTTTTTTTTTTATGGTTCCGTTTCCTGCACATTACATTTTACCACTTATCTATTTATGGGTCAGACTGAACAACACCACTGAATAATACTGGACTGCCAGAAAATCGATTATGGCACAAAATTCTACTAAGAAAAATAAAATACTCAATTAAATTGAAATAATATATAACAAGATCCAAAACTAAGGAGATAAAACTATTTGTTCAACTATACTAACTACTTTTACATAGAGAATAAATTTATATGTAAAATGAGAGATTCCTTAAGCCTTAAAACTGAGCACAATGTATCATTAGATCTTTATAGGAGATGATGTGCCTGCACAGCAGGCTATTTTTTTAATATAATAGAGGGACATGATATCTGAGACATTTATGGTGGAGCCAGTGGAATAGGTGGGCAGTTGCAGCAGTTGTAGATGTGGTCACAGATGGCTGGGACCCACTGGAAGAAATAGGTCACGTCTACAAGGTGGGCCACAGGATAGCTATCCTTTGTTCCAAGATTCCCTGGTGTTGCTATGGCAGACAAGTATTGCTAGATCAAAGGTATGCCAGTACGAACAAGTTGATGAATAAGGCATCTGTATCTTATTCATCAACTTGTTCATATTGTACACCTTGAATCTAGCAATAATCAGATATAATGGCATTAAGTGCTCTGTAAAGTTTCTTAAAAGTTTACAGTGAACATAGCACTTCTTATCTCCCATTGTAGTACTTTTCACTAATCTACTACTTCACTGTGAAGGAAAAATGCAGCACTTCTTTTCATTTGTAATTATGGTCTCTTGTTATGATATTAGGATGTCTTCAGTGTCAATTCTTTTGTAGCCTTTTATAATCTTGAATGTGGTAATCATATTGCCATGTTTCTTTTTATCTGCTAAAAATGGTACTGCATCCCTCTATACTCTACTCTACTCTCCTTGCCAGTGCTCCCCAATTTTCAGAGTAAAAGAAAAATTTCTTTTGGTTAACTCTGGAGGGCTACTAACCCAAGATAACCCAAGAAAGCCAAGCAGTGTGGCTTATCAGCTTGCTCAGGATTGAACCCAGTTCCTGTGGCTGTGGGACAAATATGCTACCACTAAGCCAAAAGTCACTGTATGTATGTACTGAATTATCAAATGAAAACAAATGGCTGAATTTAGTTATATTTGATATTAAATTTTAGCATAGACAATACTATACACGTGCACACACATGCACTAACAGACAATTACTAAAGGAAAAATTTAAGGTGTATTAAATGGCTTACTTGTAGAAGGTTAACATACAACCCGTGATAGTCATGTTCATGGGAACTTGTGCGGACATACGGCCAATGAGCATCATCTTTTCTCCAGTGTCAGGGTGGAATGCTGAGTCATATATACTTTTGGCCTTCCATATATCATCTTCAGATAAATTTAATGCCTCACCTTTCCTGAAAAATTATGGTATATTAGACTTTATATATATTTTAATAGATATCATTTGTATTAAAATAAACAATGGTATAAACCTTGGTAACTGATACCGAAAAATTGGTTTAATTAAAAAGACATATGTTTGCTCATGTGTCTTTTTAAACTAAAATAAACAATGAAATATGTAGACAATATAGAAAAGGTAACAGAAAATATTATTAAAGAAATGGTGAAAAATACAGAGAAAACCAAAGGTGGTAGATCTATGAGTAATGACAGGAAGTAGTAATTACCAATTCATAGTTGCAGGAGGGGAACTAAACCTGGTAAATTTTTGACAAGTTAATGAACCTTCAAATTATTGGTTTTCACTGCCAATTTACCTTTTATGAATACCCAATTTATCAAATAATTTATTCCCACTGACAAATATATGTATTAATCAGTTTACTTTAGCAACTGGGTTCAAGATCTGTCCCTATCATTATTACAACCCAAGGTCACATTTGTGAAAGGAATATAATATGGGTTGATCCTTTTCCATTAAGTACAAGGTGAATGATAGGCTTGATACCTTTGACTTGTCTCATTTCTTAAGAAAAGAAAGCAATAATATACAGCCTCTCCTCACTTAGGGACGTAGTCGTTTACTGACGACTCGGACTTACAATGGGCTCTCTGACCAGTTTGCATACCTAAATAATGTATATTAGAGCTGACTTCCTCTATTCTGTTTATTACAATATACAGTACACTATGGTATAAACATTTAAAATTATATCAGAAATGTTATAAATGGTGTAAAGGTGACATTAAAACAACATCAGAGATGGATGACACAAACCCACTATCATTATAGTATGCTCCTCACTTAGTGACGAATTCATTTACCAACATGGTCTTAGTAACAGAACTCCATCATTAAGCAAGGAGAGGCTGTATTAAACTTTTTTCTGATTTCATTATACAGTAGGACAAAAATCAGATCTATATATCATATAACCTATCTTCCATTTCTCAATTACAGGTTAATTCTTTAATGGCTGGCTAGTCAATATTAGTGAGTATCTTTAACCCTTTCATTGTTCAGACCCCTGATCCTTATATCACTGTGTTCAAAAATTCCCCCCCCCCCAAAAAAAAATGATAGAGAATCTTTTCCTGATGGTAATGACACCAAAAGTACGAAATTTGATGGAAAACTTAAAAAAATTACTCTCTCGCGAAGTTAGCGATCTCGGCGATAAGGTCATGACTACAAACTATGAAAGAGTTGCTGCTGAAATGACATTAGAATGCTTTCCTTTGCAGAGTGATAGATCAATGCTACTGATGGAAACTTTAAACTAAGATCGACTAAATACTGAAGAAGGGACATCAAAGGCTTAGTGCTGCTTGTATAAAATAGCTGAGAGCACTGTGTATTAATTTTAGTGTTAAAAATAAACTACATTTAGGATATTAATGTCCTGGAATGAATCCATAATTGTAAAATGGGTTTCTATGTGGATGCAGGTCCAGGGCATTGGACACTCAAGTTACAAACAATTTTCAAGAACACATTTCATTTGTTAGTTGGGGACCAAACATTACTGTATGTACAGTATATGAGACGGTAATGGTACCTAGATTTATAGAGTCAAAACTAAAGTTAACCATAGCTACTGGATATATAATCACCTGTAGCTGGTTACAACACTTTTGGCTCTCTCTAATTCAGTTGGTGTACACAAAAGGTTAAGAGGATTGGTAATGGTGAAAAAATGCTTGGCACGGCCCACGTAAGTGTTCTGGTCCCACCTTGGCTCATCAATGTTAATTCTGCTCATCTTGTTTCTGAAATTGCAATAAAGAATACAGTATACATAACTAATAAAAAAATGCTACTGGTACAGTACATCTTAAATAATTGCATCAAACTTGAATTTTTTTCATTACAGTCCAATAACATGAAGTCTGCACATTATAGTATTTACAAGAAGTGCAGTATTTACAAGTTATTAAGGTTTTGCCACAAGCAAAATTCACTAATACTGTAATTGTGAGATGAGAATTACAGCAACAACTGAAACCTTTTACAATACGTACTGTGCTCAACAGACATTTCAAAATCAATACCAACTATTATTATATACCAAAACTAAATAAAAATTACAAAAGTATAGATTTTTATTTCCCCCCTCACCTAAAAATCCTTTAAGCATAAAAATTTGTCATTTTCTGTGCACTGAATATGCAGGACAGTGCATCCTGCAAGATGCATGAATCATAAGTCTTTAACAAATACAGTACTGTACTCCAGTTTGAAGTAGGTACCAAAAGATGCCTTACCCCTGGCATCAAGCACCCTTTTCCAGTATCAAGGCACTCCTTCCTCAACATCAAGGAACCTCCCCAGTGCCCCATCCCTGGCATCAAGCATGCTTTCCCAGTATCAAGGCACTCCATCCTCAACATCAAGGAATCTCCCCAGTGCCCCATCCCTGGCATCAAGCACACTTTCCCATTATCAAGGCACTCCATCCTCAACATCAAGGAACCTCCCCAGTGCCCCATCCCTGGCATCAAGCACGCTTTCCCAGTATCAAGGCACTCCATCCTCAACATCAAGGAACCTCCCCAGTGCCCCATCCCTGGCATCAAGCACACTTTCCCATTATCAAGGCACTCCATCCTCAACATCAAGGAACCTCCCAGTGCCCCATCCCTGGCATCAAGCACACTTTCCCAGTATCAAGGCACTCCATCCTCAACATCAAGGAACTTCCCCAGTGCCCCATCCCTGGCATCAAGCACGCTTTCCCAGTATCAAGGCACTCCATCCTCAACATCAAGGAACCTCCCCAGTGCCCCATCCCTGGCATCAAGCACACTTTCCCATTATCAAGGCACTCCATCCTCAACATCAAGGAACCTCCCAGTGCCCCATCCCTGGCATCAAGCACACTTTCCCAGTATCAAGGCACTCCATCCTCAACATCAAGGAACCTCCCCAGTGCCCCATCCCTGGCATCAAGCACTTTCCCATTATCAAGGCACTCCATCCTCAACATCAAGGAACCTCCCAGTGCCCCATCCCTGGCATCAAGCACACTTTCCCAGTATCAAGGCACTCCATCCTCAACATCAAGGAACCTCCCCAGTGCCCCATCCCTGGCATCAAGCATGCTTTCCCAGTATCAAGGCACTCCATCCTCAACATCAAGGAACCTCCCCAGTGCCCCATCCCTGGCATCAAGCACACTTTCCCATTATCAAGGCACTCCATCCTCAACATCAAGGAACCTCCCCAGTGCCCCATCCCTGGAATCAAGCATGCTTTCCCAGTATCAAGGCACTCCCTCAACATCAAGGAACCTCCCCAGTGTCCCATCCCTGGCATCAAGCACACTTTCCCAGTATCAAGGCACTCCATCCTCAACATCAAGGAACCTCCCAGTGCCCCATCCCTGGCATCAAGCACACTTTCCCAGTATCAAGGCACTCCATCCTCAACATCAAGGAACCTCCCCAGTGCCCCATCCCTGGCATCAAGCACGCTTTCCCAGTATCAAGGCACTCCATCCTCAACATCAAGGAACCTCCCCAGTGCCCCATCCCTGGCATCAAGCACACTTTCCCATTATCAAGGCACTCCATCCTCAACATCAAGGAACCTCCCAGTGCCCCATCCCTGGCATCAAGCACACTTTCCCAGTATCAAGGCACTCCATCCTCAACATCAAGGAACCTCCCCAGTGCCCCATCCCTGGCATCAAGCATGCTTTCCCAGTATCAAGGCACTCCATCCTCAACATTAAGGAACCTCCCAGTGCCCCATCCCTGGCATCAAGCACTTTCCCAGTATCAAGGCACTCCATCCTCAACATCAAGGAACCTCCCAAACATCAAGACACACTCTTTTCCTTGGAGGAGTGTTATATATTCCTTTTAATTCTTTCAGAACCGTGATTTATTGTTTTACTGATATTATATGACTTAATTAGTGAGAACTATTATTATTATTATTACAATCAAAACTATGTGCTAAACCAAGTGAAAACTATTAAGACCTACATTGTGTGTCTGAGCAGCTATTTATGATGTCGATTGTAACTTGGCATATGACCAATGTCTATTATTATTGCAGTAATGGGGAAGCGCTTAACCCGTATGGGTCATCCAGCGCCTGAGGGAATGGAAGGAATTCAGATTCCATTCATGATCAAGCATCAAGGAACCTCCACCGACGGGTACAATGTCTGTAGCTATCATTGTTATACTCGTAACAAAGTTCCAAAACCACAGTGGCTACATAACACCTGGTTTTGTATTATTATAATCAAAATGACACCTGGTTTTGTAGTAATAAGCCGGTGTCTCAACAGGGCGTCGTCTGCTCCCCTAGCAACAGCTGTTGACCAGTTTAACCAAATGTCTCAGGTTCCAGATTATGACCTATAATTGATGTTATCTTCCGTTAACTGAATTCTTTTTTAGTGTAAATTATACCCATCTTTCTTACAATTAGCGCAGCTTGACAAGGCTGGACTAAGTTCTGTTACTCTTGTTGTTGTTGATGTTGGGGGTTTAAGGGCCACTAAAACTTACTCTTTATTGAATCCTTCCTCCTGGGAGTTCGGATAAGTAAAACTTAAGGAATAAAACCTGGATATATGTATCAAACAAATTCTAACCATGCAATTAGAGCTAAAAACTAATGTGAAGTATACTTGGGAGTGATAATGTCGGAGAATATCACTTTCAAAGATCACAACAATATCTCTATCACATCTGCTAGGAAAATGATAGGGTGGATGATGAGAACCTCCAAAACTAGGGATGCCCAGCCAATGATGATTCTTTTCAAATCGTTTGCTCTTTCTAGGCTGGAATATTGTTGTATACTAACGACCCTTTCAAGGCAGGCGAAATTGCAGACTTGGAGTATATACAGAGAACTTTCACTACATATATAAGTACAGTTAAGCACTTCAGTTACTGGGAACGGTTGAAGTCCTGGACCTGTACCCCTTGGAACTAAGTTTATTTAGGTATACACAAAAACAGTTACATAGATTATCATACATAGCAGCATATGTGTAGAGAACCTGGGATAACCCAAAAAAATAGACAAAGTAACTTATTTCCATTGGGGAGCGAGAAAGGGGGACGAGAAAGATACATCATAATTGACTCCTGGAAAATCCTAAAGGGACTAGTCCCAAATGTGCCGCCGGAAATCACTCCCTACGAAAGCAAAAGACTGTAGGTGTCGCAACATCCCCCCTAATGAAAAACAGGGCTACCATGAGTACAATAAGACATAACACAGTAAGTGACAGTGGCCCAAGACGGTTCAACTGCTTCCCAGTATACATAAGGGGAATTACCAATAGACCCCTGACTGTCTTCAAAAGAGAGCTGGCCAGATACCTTAAGTCAGTACCTGACCAATCGGACTGTGGTTCGTATGTTGGATTGCATGCGGCCAGCAGTAACAGCCTCGTTGATCAAGCTCTGATCCACCGCGAAGCCTGGTCATGGACTGAACTGTAGGGGCTTTGATCCCCACAACAACCTCCAGGTAAATAAAGTACAAATACACATATAAGCCTTTATTTCAAAATTACCGTATAAAATATGCAGTAATCTGAAGGCCTGTTGAGCGAGTAGCATTATTCAAATTCAAATTCAAATTCAAAGTTTATTCTCTATAAGGATTACAATGCTGAGTTTACAGAAATTTGGTTATTGTTTGGTTTACATGTAGTAAAATTGTGATTACAGAGTGTACCACTAGAACGCTTAGCATGGCTAGGCATTTCGGGCATACTTAGTTTTATTCTTAATTGTAAAATATTACAAATTATGAGGTAAGTTGGTATTATGGCTAAGTGACTAAATACTAGTTTATGAGTTTAGCAATGTGAATGCTTTTGTTTTGGCACAGTATATAGTTTCAGTATTGGAGTATCACAGGATTCATTATTTTAAGACTGAGATTAATATTCTGTTTATGGTCAAATGAGTGAGCGAGTGTAAGTGTGAACCACCAGGTGGTATTCGTGTAGTTAGTTGACGGGGTGTATCAGGGAGATAAGATGTTTTCTAATGGTAGTTTTGAAGGTGATGAATGTGTCTGCAGTTCTAGAGTTCTCAGGTAGGGTATTCCAGATTTTAGGGCCTTTGACATACATTGAATTTTTGTAAAGGTTTAGTCGGACACGGGGAATGTCGTAGAGATGTTTGTGTCTGGTGTTATGCCTGTGGGTTCTGTCACAACTATCAAGAAAGCGTTTTAGGTCAAGGTTGATATTAGAGTTTAAGGCCCTGTAGATATAGATTGCACAGTAGTAAGTGTGGATGTACTGAACTGGGAGTAAGTTTAGATCTTTGAAGAGTGGGGGGGGGGGTGCTTCCAGGGATGGGATTTAGTGATTATTCTTACTGCAGCTTTTTGTTGGGTTATTATTGGCTTTAGGTGTGTTGCTGCAGTTGATCCCCAAGCACAAATAGCATAGGTGAGGTATGGGAAAAACTTGGTCTATACTGTGAAGTAAGTTTAGCAAGGTACAATGACACAAGTTTTGGGTGATTGCAATTGTCTTACATATTAGATTTGTTCTGATTTTTAACTCTGGAGAGAGTTAGTTACCCAAGATAAGTCAGTGTATCATCAAAGACCGTCTGTTCTATGTCCATTGTGTTCCTTTAATCTTGTCCTCCAGGATGCGAATCACACCAGTCAACTAATACCCAGGTACCTACCTACTGCTAGGTGAACTAGGGCAGTAGGTGTAAGGAAACATGCACAACGTTTCCACCCGTAAGTTAATACAATCCCATGCTGGGGATTGAACAACGGACATTCAGTGTGAGGTGAATGCGTTGCCAACTGAGCCACGGGACAACATAAGGGTGTGTGTCCCGTAGCTCGATTGCTTGTGCACTCAGCTCTCACACTAACGTCCATGGTTCGATTCCCAGTACGGGTGGAATCATTAGGACGTGTTTCGATAAGGCACCTATTGTCCGTGTTCATCTATCAGTAAAATAGGTACCTGGGTGTCAGTCGCATCCTTGGACAAAATTGACCTAATTTTCCCGAAATACTCTGCATAACGTTGGATTGCGTGCAACCAGCAGTAACAGCCTGGTTGATCAGGCTCTGATCCACCAGGAGGCCTGGTCACAGACCGGGCCGCGGGGGCGTTGACCCCCGGAACTCTCTCCAGGTAAACTCCAGGTAAATAACAATATGGCAGTATGTCATTGACGTCAGCTAGGCCTGTATACCTTGTACTTATAGAAATAAAGATTATTATTATGTATAAATTACCTAGGATAACAAAATTAAAAGTCAGACAAATTTACCTATTTCCACTGGTGTCTTTGGTCCTTAGTAAAATATGTCGCTCAAATTTGAGCGAGAAGTATAAAGACAGAACATTTCATCCTGAAAAAAACGGGAAGAATACATTCCTAATTCAGTCAGGTGGATCCCTCACCTAAGCTCCAGTAGGCACACACACCTACAAGGGGCTTTTTTGTTTTCAAACCCAGAGGGAGCTGATGTTGTTCCTGTCGTTGTTGCATTTTTTTTTGGGGGGGGGGCATATGCCGTATGATCTCTCCCAGAAGTCTGTATCTATGCATTTCCTTAGCGTTTACTGCCCAACTACCCGTGAAGCGCAGAGAGAAATAAGCAACACGTAGAACTTGGTCAGGAATATCTAGGTCGAAAGAAGGGCTGTGTTTCAGTTGTGCCGCCTGACACACAAAACAGGATCCCCGTGGTCACAATAGGTTTTCATCAAGCCACAATAAGATAAGATAAGATTTCGTTCGGATTTTTAACCCCGGAGGGTTAGCCACCCAGGATAACCCAAGAAAGTCAGTGCGTCATCGAGGACTGTCTAACTTATTTCCATTGGGGTCCTTAATCTTGTCCCCCAGGATGCGACCCACACCAGTCGACTAACACCCAGGTACCTATTTGCTGCTAGGTGAACAGGACAACAGGTGTAAGGAAACGTGTCGAAATGTTTCCACCCGCCGGGAATCGAACCCGGGCCCTCCGTGTGTGAAGCGGGAGCTTTAGCCACCAGGCCACCGGGCCACAATGGACATAGTTAAGCACAAAAAATAATAGTTACTTCATATATTACATTCACTTTATACAGAAAATGTTAGCAATACAATATGTAAATACAATCTCAAGAAAACTTGCTATCTTATTACCACTAAAACATTTGTCATAATTTGGGTGTAGTCTCATCAGTAAAACCAGTTCTCTCATCTAGTAGACGCAAAATGTGTATACAATCTCAAAATCTCTGATATCTTACTATCAACAGTGGAATGATTTGTCATATCCTTTAGAGTTTGCATAAAGGTGTCTCTGAAAAGTTGGATGTTCGAGCACGGTAAGGTTTAGCTCTTGGTTTTAATTATAATAATCATAATTGGGCACACTAAGATACAGTACTCTAGTGTATGGCCCTGTCTCTACTGCCAGAGATACTTATATTATTATAATCAAAAAGAAGCGCTAAGCCACAAGGGCTATACAGCAGAGATAGGAGGAGGCCTGGTCACAGACCGGGCCGCGGGGGCGTTGACCCCCGAAACTCTCTCCAGGTAAACTCTCTCCAGGTAATAACCTAGCCTTAGTCTAGCAGTAACATCATATTGTTACTTTCTCCACAGATATGTTTAATCTGACACATTTCTTAATGATAGAAAAATTGATCTTCTAGTTCCTATCTGTGCTGTTCTACTATTTTCAAGCTCGTTTACAAGTTCCTCTCTTTTCTGGCAATGTTTCTCAAATTTGTATTTGAAAATCAAATAATACTCGACATTCTCTTTATTTAATGCTAGTTTAGTTAATTCATTAACTTGCCATGATCCTAAGCTAAATCCCGACGGAATCTGGTGCAGTATCGTCCAGCATGGGACACTAAGGTTTAGTTAGTTTCACGTCTTTATTATGCACCCCATATCCATCCTGTGGGCGGTAGTCAAAAGATTACAGAGGTGCATAATGGGTTCAGGGACTGAGCCGCCAGCCGCCAGCCGCCAGCCGCCAGCCGCCAGCCGCCAGCCGCCAGTCGTCCTCTGAGCACTTGAGGCACTTTACATCGGTTCACAACACATTTTTAAATTATGATAGGTTATATATTACTGGTATGCAATACCGACATGATGAATTAGACACATGTATAACATTTAGGCATCTTTACTTTGTAGACATTCGCCTTACTTTCTTCTGCT